GCATGGCAAGCCCCCCACCCTGCTGGGTCTGCAGGGGCTTGCAAGAGTTTCTGCCTTTCATGAAGAGACTAATCTTGAGGAATTAATGAGGAAACAACACTTATTTGAATTAAATAAAGTACAATTAAGCTAAAAGGCTGAAAACTAGGGGGACAAAGCCGCCTGGGCCTAAGAAGTGGGCTGAAAAGAGGCAGGACAGACAGTGGCTATCAATACATAACCTCTAGAAAAATTGAACACGATATTCATTACTATTTAGGCTTAGTGCACCTTTCCATTTCTGGGATTCAGTATGAAGCTTAAACCAAAATCTTTATGAATAAGCTAATAAAATACCCAAGCACATGCAGCTGATGGACTGTAAAGGTTTTGTTGGGGTCTGTTTCAGTAGGATCTGAACCTTTATTCAGTCAGAAGGTTCTTCATCGTCTACAAAAAAAATTAGTTTCCTTAGGTCTTCGCTGGATGTTTTTCTGTGGGGATGGGATTTCACTTTATTACTTGCTCTCTAATGAAGAGCCTGGCACTGCTGTGTGAGGGAGTTTCTCTTTCTCCAGTGAGACCATGCTGTGTAACCAGGGATGCAGAATAGCTTTCATCTTTGAGGACAGAACTGAAGATACATGTTTGCTTTGAATCAAGGAGTAGACTAATTGCACAGAGAGTTTGCAGGCAATTTGCTGGACCTGTTGGTTAGTTGACTGAAGTATTGATGAGTACCTGCTGCATATGTTGTCATTGCTGCCTAATGGAAGGACTAGAAAACTCATGTTCATCATTTTGAAAGTGTGTTCGCCCTGTCATACCCAAACACAAGGCAGTAAGGTTTTGTGCAAAGGATCTCTGAACACTGGGGAAGGCAAGACGGGATTTCAAGCTCTAATTTAGTTACAGTTTACATATTGAAACAGTCACGTTTTGTGCAGTGATACTTAAAACATGGCATCATCATCTAAAGATATGCTTCTGTTTTCCTATGTATTTACCCCATCGCTTCTCTTTTGGGGAGAAGTGCACTGCTTGTTTCCCCTCCCTTTTGCTTCTTTGTACCACCACTTCGTGTCTGTGCAGCCCTTGGGTCTGTCTTCCTTTGCCTGACTTTCACAGCTTTCTATGCCAGCATTGGGATGGATGTTTGCTTTCTTCTTGGTTGAATCCAGCACCTCTCTTTCCTTCAGTTCCCTGTGCTTTGGTGCAAAATGCTTTATAGTTCATGCTTAATAGTTTTGTGTCGTTCTTGTGGTTTTGAAGATACTCTGGAAATAATGTATAAAAAATCTCCTGCAGTCAGATCTCCTCCCTGAAATTACAGGCATTTAATTCATTTTCGTTGCACGGACAGGTAAGATGTATGACCTACAGGCGAGCTTTACCCCTCTAGAGTGGCATCTGGAGGGGAGACAGACTGTCATATGTTCGTAGTATCACTTCAGATGTCCCAAGTTTGGACAAGTGAGTGTCATCCTTAATGTTGTACCGAAGTCACAAGATACTTAACATCTCAATTTGGAGTAACTATATTGGATGGATATCTTAGTTTTACTCATTCAAATAGAAACAGCTGAGACTTGTTCAGAATCCCAGCAATAGGAACTGATTGTATGACATACTTCCTAATTTTGTCTTTTTTCCGCAGGTCCAACAAGGACAAAGAAACCACACTGCAGAACCTGTAATAGATGACTATAAAAAGATGGGGACTCTCTTTGGTGAACTAAACAAAAGCCTCATCAGAATAGGCTTCACAAGGATGTACTTTGGAGAACGGATAGTAGAACCTGTAATAATTATATTCTTCTGGGTCATGCTCTGGTTTCTTGGCCTACAAGCTCTTGGACTGGTTGCTGTGCTGTGCCTTGTCATTATTTATGTACAACAGTGAAATTTTATATATGCTGTTCAGATAATGTATTTCAACACTGTCACTATGTCAGTGGATTTGAGTTTAAGTGAAAGGGTGGCATATCAAAAGCTGCAATGCTTTGAATTGCATTTCACTTAAGTTTCAATGTTTGGGATGAGGAGGACTAAAATGATGCATTTTAAGCAAAGTCAACAGTGCCCTGCTACTTCTTCAAAGGGCAAAAAATGAGATGTTTGTAATATAATGGTGTCCAGTGTACTGTTTTCTGCATTCTTGGGGCCTTAGTCCAAGGTCTGGCTTTTTGTTGTTGCCCTCCCTTCCCCCCGCAATGTTCTTGCTTTGTATATTGAAATTTTCCTGCCTGGTTTTAAAAGGGCACTTGATGTGAGTGTCCTGTTTCATTGTTGTGAGGGGTTTGTGTGCTGTTTGTTCCCTGAATATGCCTAATTAGCTAATTTTTTGCTGAAAAGCTAAATCTGCACGAGGGAGGTTTGCTAACAAACCTACAATGACAAATGTTCATAAGGTGAATACAACTTCCCGACACAAAAGCATCTTTGGTTAGTATAGTTTATAGCAAGCTTTCCCCTAGGAAACAAGCTATGCCAGAAAAATGCTTTTGTACTAATATTAGTGACTTCACACAAGGCTTCAGATGTTGTTCAGGAGGAATCACAGTCCTGTATTGGCCAGATGGTCTAATGTATCTCTGCCTTGTGTTTGGAAATGTACTCTGCTCCTGCTGCTATTTTTCTTTCTTTTTTTTTA